CCCCCGCCTTCCAACGCGCGGATTAAAAGGAAGGCTTTTGTGAGTTGCTGCGCTAATAGCAGCTGTGGAGGCAGGGGGAAGCAGAAGGGGGTCGTCCCCATCTTCCTTACGCTCCCCCATCCCTGGGGCGTGCGGAGCGGGGCCGGTCCCGCCGCCCTCCAGGCTCTGCCGCCGCCGCCGTCGGGGCTGCGAGCGCTGCGCTCCTCCGTGCGGCCGCCGCTGTCCGCGTTCCCCCCGCTGCCCCCGCCTTTCCCCGCGCTCCCGGCCGCTCTCCCGCTTCCCCAACCCCCGCCTTCCCCGCTCCGCAGCCCCGCTTAACCCCGGGAGCCGGCCCGCGTCCCGGCTTGCTTTGAATAATTGCCTGCCTCCCGCGAAACGCCCGTGGGGAAAATATTTATTAAATGGAAACAATTGTCCCGGCTCCCGGGGGGAACCGCGTTTGTTCCGGGCTTATTGGTTTTTAGCACCTGCTTTGGTTAACAAACCTGCTCCGAAAAGACCCCCCCGGGCCGCCCCCTGCCCCCGCCCGCCCGCGTCCGACAGCGACCGGGGAGAGAAACGAGATGTCGGGGGGGGCTCCCGGGACGGACGGGGGGAGGCCGGCCCGGCCCCTCCGGGGTGCCCCCGCACCTCTCCGCCCAAAACTTCGCCTCCTGCCCGAGGGGAGCCGCCGCCGCGGGCCGCTCCGTGCCGGGTCACCGTTCCTGGGGGGCTCTCAGCTCCCCCCCGTCCTCCGAATAATATTAATAATAATAATAGAATAAACCACCTTCGCCCTTATTTCCTCCTTCTTCGCAATAAATGACTTTCATTTCTCGGCAGAGCCCTGTGCCTGCGGAACCGGGGAGAAGGAGGAGGAAGAGGAAGATGAGGAGGAGGAGGAAGAAGAAAGGGGCCAAGGATGTGGAGTCCGCTCACCTGGACGGGGCCGGCAGTGCCCGAGGCTTTGGCTCTGCTGCCGCCGGCTCCATCCCAGAGGCTTTTTTCGTTGCGCCCAGAAATGCGCCGCCAATTTCCCAGCCCGCTCCGGGACCCCCTTGCCCAAGCGCCCTCCCCGGGCGGGATCCTCCCGCTACGGCACCGCATCTTCCCCAGGGAAACTTGCCCCCATCCCGCGGTGGAATCCCCCGAGCTTCTCCCCACCCCCAGCAGCCGCTGATGTTCACATGGCACCCGCAAACAAGAAGAGGTGGGTGCGGGCTGCCCCTTCCCTCAGCTGCCCCCCGGGCTCGCCTGAGACCTGGCCCGTTCTCGGGGACCTCGGTGCCACGCGTGGAACGCTCGCCACGGGCCGGGACTGGCGTGCCCGGGCGCTGCTCGGCCCGACAGGCACCCGCCGGCTTGGCCGTGGCCGTGGTAGGGTGACACGCGTGGAAAGTTCTTTTTTACCCCACTTTTTCCGTGGAAACAGCGCTGTGGGCTGCCCCAGCTGCCGGCGCGCTGCCCCGCGGAGCTGCCGCGCTCAACATCCGCGGGGAAAGCCGCCTGGAGCCGCTGCCCCTCTCCTCGGCGCCGTCTGCTTTCCCCTCCGACGCTTAAAATACAAAACTCCCTTCGCTTTTATTGTTTCTTTTCAAATTCTTCGAAAGAGGGGGAGAAATTGTATCACTCGTCATCCCTCGGCAGGATTAAACGAGAGGAGCCGGGCGTCGTTCTCAAAAATCCGGGTAGCAAATCGTTCGGGAAGGAGCGGTGGCTCGCAGGCTCTGCCTGCTCCCGAAAAGTCTTTCCAATCAGTTAATGTTGCCTCGCAATATTAATGATAAAAAATCGGCAGCCCGGCTTTCATTGGCTGCTACCTCGCCGTGCTGCAGCACACACGCTACATCAGCTCGGGGCATTTCGGGCTCCGCTTTGCTCATTTACATCCCATAAATGCCCCGCTTGAAAAAAAAAAAAAAAAAATTAAAAAGGAAAAGAAAGATTTCCTTGGAGATTCCAACGCTTCCATCCTTAAATACTTAAGTACTTCCATTTTCCCCCCTAAATCCTTTGTCCTGGAAGGGCATCTGTTGCAGCTGTACAGTCCTCGGGGTTGGATTTTATAAACTTTGTACCATTTTTGTGGTTTGGGATTTTCTTCCTGGGGAGGGAAGAAATTTGCAGGGCGGTGACTGAAATCCATTTCTCCTCACCAGCTTGTTTAGACACCAAAACTAATGGTGCGATTATTATTCCTGAATGATATCATGGTAATGCAGAGAGATAAGAACGGCCTGATAGGGAAACATTAAAATTATATTCTTGGAGATCGTTCATTTGGAGTAACTTTAAATTAGATGAGATCATGTAGCCTGAGATCCAGTATCAGCATAAATAGAGCTGTATTTCTGCCTTCAGCCTCCTCCTCCTCCTCACAGGAATCACAGTCGGGCTTGCAACTGCCAAAAGTGAGAGGTGAAGAGCACCTACAATTTGAAAATACCCCCGATCGAAACTTCATTTAGGAAATAATGGATCTTTAAATAACTTTATTTTATTATTTTTTTTTTTTATGCTTCAGGCACTGGGAAAGGGAGGGGATTTTTAATTGATTTTTAATTGAAGGAAGCACGTTTTGGAAAGACTTCCAGGTTTCTGGGGCTTTTCAGAGCCACTGAGGATGCAGGTCCTGCTTGCTGTTCTGTGGGACCTGGTGAGATTCCCACCACCAGGAATACTTTTTCCAAATACCCAGAATTAGCTCAGTGTACAGAATCCTACCAGACATTGCCAGGGATGATTATATTCCTACTTTTCCCTCATATCTGGTTATTTTGCATGCAAGTGCACACATACATTTCGTTATGCGTGTGCCACATATTAAAAAAGACCTTTTTAATCACATGCCATCAAATAATATTTTCTGGGAGAGATATATGGAAAATATATGCACAGAGCAGCTCATCCGGGCAGCAGCACTGATGTGTTCACAGATACTGTGCAGAACAGACTGGATACTTACAGGTTATTCTTTTTGCATTTTTACGGTGTTTCTTCCTCAGTTTCATCCCCCCAACCCTGAAAAAGGCATTTATTCAACTCCAGCTATAAAAAGTTACAGGGATCCAGCCTCCTGCACGGAGAGATTTAATGGAGCAGGTCACTGCCCTGTACATCCCTGACAGAAGAGGGGAGCAGTGATGGATGTGGCAGATTGGATCATCCCAGGAGCTGCTCGCTCACGCTGCCCAACAAGAGATGCTCCCTGGGAAGGCACCACCTTCCACGGGAGAGAGGTGGAGAATAACTTGCTTCAAAACTAAAGATTCCACCTGGATTGGGACCTGGTTTATGCCCTGAGGCAGAAGTTTACAGCCCTTTCCAAACTTGATTTTTGTTCTGCACGTTTTATCCGTGTGTGTGATACAACCTGATCCCATCCCTTCCTTTGGCACAGTGCTCTGTGCATTTAGCTCTCATTCCTCACAGGAAATCTGTTCACTGCTCTTTTGCAGCACCATTTATATTTGTGGCTTGTTGTTAATGAGGAAGGTGATGGATATTTGTGGGGATTTCCCTCCTGGCTCAGGGTCCCTGCAGGTGACAATCCTGTGGTGTGGCAGTCATCCTGGGGAGTCTCCATTGCTGTGAAACCTGTGCCCTGCTGCCTCTGTGGGCAGGTCCAGTGCTCTTCACTGGCGTGAAGGTCTTGATCAGTGAGCCAGTGCAATGTCTGACAGTAAAAATATGCCTCGAATTATACCAGCCTTCCCAGAGCATCAAATTCAGCATATTTAGGGAATTACAGAATCATAGAATGGTTTGGGCTGGAAGGGACCTTTAAAGGTCATCGAGTCTGAGCACTTTGCAGGGACATCTTCCACTAGAGCAGGCTGCTCAGAGCCCCATCCAACTTGAATGTTTCCAGGAATGGCATGTCCACCACCTTTCTGGGCAACCTGTGCCAGGGCCTCACCACGCTCCTTGTGAAAATCTTCTTTCCTCTGTCTGTCTCACACCTCCAGTTCTGTGTGTCACCGTGTGACAGTGCTGCAGTGAGCAGTGAGAGTGCAGCCAGGCCAGCAGTCATTGTGAGGACACCATGCTGTGACAGAGAGCACCAAAAGAGCCCCCACAGAATCAGGCAGCAGTCTGGACTCCACAGAATCCACAAAGAGTCTCTGGGTACCACCCTGCTGGAGACTGCTGAGGCAGTGCCACCTCTGTGCCACCTCCCAGGGCCTTCCCTTAGCAACTTTAGCAGTCAAACAACGAGTGGCTGAAGAGTTGTTCATCCTTCCCAGGGTGAGAAATGTGTGGTGGAAACCCATGGGGATTCCCCTCCCGTGGTGCAGAGCCCCATGGGTGCATCAGCCCACCTGCCCAGGGAAGGGTCCCTGGAGACCCCTCTGGATTTTGCTTTCCCTGCAGCAGCAGCAGCTGCAGGCAGAGCTGATGAGTCTCTCCAGTAAATAAGTGCATTCACTGTGGCCATGGATGTAAACCCAGGGGCTTGACATGGCATTGACTTCCCAGATATTGTATGGCCAGGGAGCTTCAGTCATTGTCAGCAACATGAAGGGAAGGATAAAGGACCTGAGCTCAGGAGTGCAGAGCAGGCTCGTAAGGAGAGGCAGTATCTCTTATTAGACCAACTGATA